AGTTTCACTTATAATTTCGTGAGAAAACCCAAAAAATTTTTGACCAATTTTGACTGAATTTTAAAAAGTCTAAAAGCAAAACGGTGGTATTTTGGGAAAAATTTTCTTTGTATAGAAAAAGCAACGAAACCTGGGTATTTTTTAGAAAGCAATGTTATAGCCTCTGGGACATTATATCCGTGAGTTTGAAAATTTATCCTGAGGTCTGGAGTCGAATCTGAATTATTTATTTCAAATCTGACTCATTCCTGTACTATTGAGTTGAAATAAAATACCTGGTATATTACTCATATTGAAATATGCCAAATTGACTCTGAAAATGAATCAAAATAATACCTATTTCATTTATAAAATATTGTGAAAAGAATGATTTAATGAGAGTAGGAGACTTATTAAAACAGGTATTCTAGGTAAATTTAAGCCCACTGGTCCAAACTTTGGAAAAAAATGTAAAAATAATTGTCATTCAAATATAGGCATTTACAAAGCCAATACTTAGCAATGCAGTATTCTATTTTCCACAAATTAATAGTTATTCAAATTTTTAAAATATCAGTGTATATTGAATGAACAGCTATAATATTCTTACTTGTTAATGTGGTTAAAGCTGATTTACATAAATTATTTCTATACATGATCATTGTTGCAGTTATATAATTGTCTATCTGTTTTGTATATTCATAACATTTCAATCTTCTATGTTCCTTACTTGAGTTTTGAGTTGCAAGAAATAATTTTGTTTATTTAATAACAAAGATAATCTCTCTTCAATTTTAACTTGTTCTAAGTTAAGAAGGTTGTTGCCATATGTTAGAGTCATCAGGATGTGTGATCAATTCTCATGGCAGCTGTTTGTTGTTCTTAGGCCTTGTAAGCTGTATCGTCCACAATTTATTATATGTTAATAATAGTTGAGCATAATTTTGATACTTTAAATCAAGGCTACTCAACTGGCGGACCGCGGCCCGAATTTGGACCTTCCGAGTATTTGATTCGGACCGGACCTAATTCTTTATTTTGGATCATTAGCCCCACTTTTGAAGCTCCATTTTATAAAATCACTTTTATTGTTTTGAATATATATGAAAAGAACTATAACACCATAATAAACAATCTTGATTAGCTAATAATCATTATCCGGTCGAGGAAGTGAGCGCTTAAGGATGCCAAAATATAATTTCTGCAAACACCGAACCCAAATAATTTTGAAATTTTATATGCGGATCTTCGGTAGAATTAGTTGAGTAGCCCTGCTTCAGATTACAGGGTAACCAGAACAAAACAAAAAAAACATGAACTTCTTAATTACCGTACTTCTCCAAAAATGAGGAATATCCGGTACTCCCATAGTGTGTGTACCAGGTTAGGGTTAGGCCATATTTTTATTTCGATTTTCCTTATTTTAGTTCTATCACGAGTTTGGGGACTGTCTGTGGTAGCCAAGTGAATATATCCCCTGTCCATAGGTTTCGGTCTCTTTATACAACTTAATGTAAAGTAGGCGAACAAAATCAAGTTATATCCATTTTGTTACACATACTTCTGGAGCGCCAAAAATTTATTCAACATTTAATAAACTTCTGTTTGTTTAAATGACTTTGATATTGAATTTGGTTTTGAGCTAAATTCTCCCGCCCTAGAGCCTACAGCATCCTTGTACTATATAGGCTACATATGGATCCATCGCCACAAAAGCATAAAAGAAGGATAAATAGTTTGTCTTGCCGGAACCCATTTGATATCATTCTCGAATATGGCAATTTAAAATCCAAATTTACAAAAAAAAAATTATTATTCTTCAATTTCAAATTGGAATGGAATTATCGGAAATATACAATCTATCAATTATTCTCATATTGCTTATTATTTGAAATATCCTTCTAAGTCGATATTATTGATTTTACTCTTCCTCGCCTTATCATATCATTTAATTTATATTTTTCACCTTTATGATCAAAGCATCAATTATCACATATCAATGATCACAGACAGACATGATTAAGAATCAATAGAAAAGAGATTTAACACATATCATTACAATCTGTCTACAATTGCATATTACCAAAAACTGATAATTCTCAATTCTTTCTATAATAATCAGTAAGATTCAAATTGATACGTTTTTAGCAAATTTGTCAAATTTTTTTGGCCCGTTTTGCACTGCGACTAAATTCAATATTTTTGATAATTTGTCACAGTTGTCAAAACATACATGAATTAAATTTAAAAAAAAAATGATGAAATTCGCTTGTTTTGCTGTTTTGCTTTGCAATTCAAATTTCAAATGTAAAAATATTTTTTAAAAGTATGAACGAAATATAATCTTGTATCGTTTTGTCAAAGTTGTCAAAAATACAGGAATTAATTTTTTTTTTCATAAAAATGATGAAATTTGCTGATTTTACACTAACCTTGTATCGCTTTGTTGCCCCATATTTATCAAGGATAAGCCTTCCTTATGATAATATTTGTATAGAGATAGCAAGACAGGATGTCTCCTATCAGTTATTGATGTTCTAGTATTTAAGGAGTCTGTGTTATACATGAGTCAGATCTATTGTGAGAATGAAAAACAATTTAAAACAATGAGCGTCTGTGAATATTTTTATAACCCTTTGTGTAACACCATGTTTTTTTTTATAAGATGTTACAGTATGCACTGCAAAAAATATGAAAATTTGCTTGATTTGAAGGTGTCAAAATAGAAATTTTTTGTTTTGGATATAGCTTGATTGTTTTTATCACTAATACCTAGAATTTATTCTCAAATTGAAATTATTGTAGTCGTTTCTTACATATATTTTTCAATTGAAATTTCGAATGTTATTAGGATTGGAATTGGGAATTGGAAAGTTTACTTGGATTTAAAGGTAATAAAACTGATTGCCTTTTGTTTTTGATATAGTTTAATAATTGTATATGTCACTGAAATCTAGAAATTGGTATTCAAAAAAAAAATCAAATCATTTTTTGCATTTTTTTAAAATACTTGGATTTTGGATGTTGCTTAAAAGTAGAGGATTTTGCAGACTTTTTGATTAGAATTTTAAATCTATTCTGAGAGCCTGGTGTTGCAAGCGTAAGCGAAAGCTAAATCAACACCAAAATGATAAAACAGATTATATTAGAATCAGTATTTTAGGTAATTCAAGATAACAGTAAATCAGTGGTTTCCAACCGTTTTCGTTAAAAACCTTTTTCTTTAATCATTTTGGACTTCTTCATTCTTCCCTCACTGTACACAAAACTACCATACTTTTCCTTCTTGATTTCTGAATTAGGGGGAAACGTGGGAGTCAATCGAGGTTTCATTTCAAAATTATTATCAAATAACTTACGGTAAAATTTTGAAATGACCACAAGCACAACTATCTTAATGAATTGCATCGGCCTGTTATATTCTTTGGCCTACATTATGTTATTTTTATCAGTATATTTGATAAATTTGAAGTCAGATAATTTTTTTTACCTGATTCTTTCAAATTTTATAAGGAGAAAAAAAATTTGCATTTAGCTTCGAACGTATCGTGTTATTTTTGAAGAATTAATCAGATCATCTCCGGTCACATTTTTCTTTATTAAATCCATAATGCTTTGTATGTATGCTCGTCCTACGCAATAACACATTTATGGTTGACCTACCTAATTCATCTGAAGACCTCTAAATATGACCTGAAAATTACCGAGATCAACGTCAGACATGCTGTTCATGGTCTTACTTTCAAACGAGCCATTATGGATCGACCTTGGGAATACTGATTTCCTAACACGGCACTATGAAACTGATAAATTTGAACCTGGTTTTGTTTGATATTACAAAATGAAAATTCGATTCAGTTTCGACTCTTATATTGATTGGTTTCCATATGTGTAATATATCCTGATTGAAATTTGCAGTTCCTCTGTTGTTATTTATATCTGACATTGGTCATTTGCATATAGCATTTTCATTACTCCCGTACTATGTGTACCAGGTTAGGGTTAGAGTATGATTTTGTTTCGATTTTCCTTCTTTTAGTTCTATTACGAGTTCGGGGACTGTCTGTATTAGCCAAGTGAATATACCCCCTGCCCATCCAATCCCTTTACACAACTTGATGTAAAATAGGCGAACAAAATTAGTTACCTTCGTACTGGTACACATACTTCTGGAGCGCCACATTTTCAATTAGAAACATTTCAATTTTTTTTTGTAGTTTTGTGTTTGTCTCGTTTCATAACCAATTCATTTTAAAAAAATTTAAAATATATGTAAAGTGTGCTGAATTTTTTCACAGCAAATATTTATATGGAGAAATCTATAGGGCTACAAAAACTGTAAACTTTTTACATTCTTAGACTAGTACATAACAGACTTAGATAAAGTTTTGAAATCTTTTTTTGAATCCATAATAATAGTGTCTCTTACAATAGCTTGTCAAATTTTTATAACACACTACACACTGTATAAATATTTATCTGAAGATAGTTGTAAGGCTACAAAAATTGTTGTAAACATTGCGACTTGGCTGCATAAAACTTCAGCTAAATATTCTGAAAAATTGTATAGAATATTAGCCAAATTTTTAGTGCGAGTTCAGAGTTATACGTTTATAAGCCAACCCCTTAGTCTGGCAACTTTTTTTTGAGTTTTAAACTCGGCTTCTATGCGAGGATATGCGGTATTTATATTTTTTGTTTTGTTCTTTGTTGAAAATGACTCTTTTTATAACATATTCAAGTTCAGTATTTCATATTGAAAAAATTATTTTCGAATCTATTGACATTGGTAGATTATTCGGTTTCACTCATCCTATGAACTCCTTTATCAATACTATTCGCAATTTTAGTTGGGGTTGGCATGGCCCGAATATACAAACTCTTGCTCATTAATCACAAATGTCCAAGCTCAATAACCTTGTTGAGTTTGAAACAGTAATCCTTCTCAATTATGTAAATTGGTTTTGATCAATTAAAATTATCCTGTTTATATTTTTAACCCTTTTGCTTCTTGTTTTCAGAATCATGTCCGAGCAAAGCCAATGATACAGTTCCAAGGGAATCAAGGGGTACGTAATGATATTTATTACAAAACATTTATTTGACGTAAAACAAATGAAATCGAAAATGTTTAAATTAATTTTAGAACAATTACAGTGAATACAATCCGGTTTTACGGTTTCACTCCTTATGCTCTCGAAGTATTCGTACCAAGATGGCGCACCAACTGAACATAGTATGTGTACCAGGTTAGGATTCAGGTTGTGCGTCATCTTGGTATGAATTATCCGGAGTACCAATTTAATTTTGGTGAGCAAAAAATTGAGAATACATAACGAAACCATTTAACATTTAATTACGCGAAGGATTTTGTAATCATCTAGTATCCAATTACATTTAAAAACAAATTTTTCGAATTTGGATCTTCTAAATCTATTTTTTCATTTGTAGGGAAATTTTGTTTAGGGTCCCGTATGAAAATATATTAAGCAAAAATTAAAGACCTTGAACCTTTCAACTTTGAACCAACGCATGTCATAAAATCAATAACCAAAATATTTGTGCTTGCAACTACTAGAAAGCCCATGTTAAATAAAGTTGCGTCCCACAAAGTTTTACTCAGTTATTTGTGTATGGCCCTTCTGTATTTTAAAGGTTGCAAACCCTCGTTTTCGTCTAACGCCCAAATATTTGCTAGGGCACTGTCATGCTTGTGTAGAGCCTGTCTCACAGCCCACATATAAGTATTATTACCTAAATTGTTGTTTATAGTTACCACTCCTATTAATAATTCTTAAGAATCGTTTTCAGAAAAATCTGAGTAAACACTGAAACCTAATTGACCGGGAACCACGAATGCCTCAATATTCCAAAATAGTCGTTTCTCTTTATCCTCAATGACGCAACTAAATGTTGACTTTAAATAATGACTCATTTTCACTGATGTAAACGCGGCATGTTAAAAGATGAATAGATACCAATTATTCCCTGTCTATATGGAGCAGTTAACGTCAGAACATTAGCAAATAAAAAATGCTCGATTTATTTTGTTTTTTGGAAATTTTCATTCAAAGAAAACATTGAAATTCAAGGTTTATTTAGACTGATATAAATTGTCATAAAGTCTTGTTATTAACGATTTTCAAATTTTGTCAGGAGTCAATTCTCAATATATCTTAACAAGATTTATTGGACACGAAGTGTATCCATGGATCATTTGGTTATTGTTGATCTCCATGTGTTGGTATTTCTTTTCTTCTTATGAATAAATCGCTTTTCTCATTAACTACTGGACCAATTGCTTTATAATTTTTTGTTTGTTTGCGATGACGTCACCAGAAATTTAAAATTGCGCCCTTTGCGATGGTTCTGCTTTCAAATTTGCTACTGTGACAGATTGCAGAAACATATATTTGAGCATCGTTCTTTATTTTTTTATCAACATTATCCAAGTTATCCATTTACAGATCTGTATGGGTTTAAAACTATATAATATACGGTATACAATTTAATAAAATTTTATGACTTTTCGACACCCTTTTTTTTATTAGCCCCTGTAATTTATAACTGTCACACTTGAGTTGGGAATTAATGTAAAACAATAAACATAAAAATACCAAAAAACAGGAAAACATTGAATCTAGCAATTGATTAGGGGTTGCGAAAGATTGCTGGAATAATTATCAAATGTTCATATTTAATGTCCTCTTGCCTGTATTATTATTGCACACTATTTAATTGGACTTTAAACCTTTTTAAATTAACACCTTCAAGTGACAACATGCTAATGACATATCAGACTTTTAACACACAGAGACTATACTTTTGTCACTTTAGTGTGACATGTTATAGATTTGCACTTCCACATCAAATCAATGAATATGAATATTCATACAATATCAAATTATTTTGACAACTGTTCATATTAGCTAAACTAGGAGCCTGTTGAATGCGAGTTCACGGCTTATGTCTAATGTTTTGGCTTCATTCTAATTTTTAAATATTTTTTTGGAAAATATTGGGTATCTGCGGATTGCAATATCTTAATTCAAATTTATTTTGATTATTATTTATCGATTTTAATCGGTAAGTATGTTGATAGGTATTTGTCTGTTTGTCTGTCTGTTAGATGCAAGCGATATCTCACGAAAGCGAGATTGGATCTGCTGCAGATTTTGCATGTGCGTTCATCATATCTCGTACCAGAAGCCTATTGATTTTGGGCAAATTATGTCGTATAATTAGAGAGTTATATATTAATTAGTGATGGGACACAAGGTGTCACTATGGATTAAGAGCGCTGTTTTGGAGGATCCTCTAACTGTCGATCGATAAGTCTTCGGGGTCTCTGACCGATATTCTTGTTTATTCATTTGCAGTGTGTTTAACTGATTTGCAACTTAAAATCAATAGACATAGATAATTTAGATTTGTAATAATGTGGAATTAGCTAAACTTTAGGAATATGATTCTTCATTAAATAAATATAAAGTGATAGAGATAAAACACTCTAAATTGGTGATACCTGACTCATGTGTGCTCACTCAAAAGCCTTCACTCAACTCATTTGTTACTTTTTGCTTTTATACACTACACAGTGTTGTGGCTTTTAGCCATTCAAAGTTGTGTACTCAATGTTGTCAAACTTACTGAAATTCTACTATTTAACAGTTCATCAATATACCTGTTCCTGGAGGAGAGAAAGAAATGCAAAAGTTCTCATTTCAAGTTTCAAATTTAGCTCAATCTGCCGGAGATTGTTTGCAACAAATAAGATCTGGGTAAGATTTCTTAATTTTTTATGCTATTTGCTCAAAGCGAGATGCCAGCATAAAAACTAGGGATTAGAAAAACCAGAAATGGGGGGTTGGGAAAAATTCACTCCCAATTCCAAACTTCAAAAAAGACTAACGCTTCGAAAACAATATATGGTACCGATAAATTCCCTTTGCAACTTTAAAAAGAATTTAAGACTTTATGGCACCTTATATTATATCATAACAATGTACGGGGTTTGACGGCACACCAACATTTCGTCTTTCACCCACATTGAGTTAAACATTTTCTTGTGTTGCAGTGGTACCGGGAGAGTAGAATGTCTTGGAAACATTCAACAGAAAGTTACTGTAAATGCAACCGATGATTCCTACGATATGACGAGGCAAAGAATGACGCAAGCTAAGAAAGAAGAGCAAAAAGCTAGGTAAGTTCAATCAATTTGACACTAATTTGTTGGCGCATTGCACGTTAACTATGTTGAAAGGCTGTGAAGTTAAAGAAAGTTCACAATTGACTCCAGACTTGGGATTAAGGAAAACTTTCCTTTAGACAGCCAAGTCAAAAAAATTCAGTCCAACTCCAGCTCTAAACTCAAAGAATATTAAATTTTGATATTCAAAACATTGGTTTACTCAAGCCTTTTTAATAGAATGTTAATAACTCATAGTAAATTTAATGCTTTTTCAAGCTATAAATAATGAGCCAACTTTGCTGGTGTTGGAAATAGGATATTTTCAGTTCAAATCCCATTTTTTCGCGTTTTGGCAATATTTAATACTTGAGTATTTCAGGAATTATTGTTTTTAGTTATTTGCTCTACTTAATTAAGGTTGAATTGAGTATTCCAGGAATTATTATCTTTCGCTATTTGCTTTACTTATGCTGTGAATATGTCAATGTTAGTAACAATATACCACCGTTGCATCCAGTCCATGCATCTGAAACAAATAGTTGAATGAGTATTCTTTTTATTCGATATACCAGGCTAGGCCATGGTTCACTATATGACATTAAGTCGTTTAATCATTCTTCCACACCCAGGATAAATATTAAAATTCAATGTCATTAATATGTTATTTTATCTTTTTTATGAGTAAACCCTTGTTTGCAGATTCAATTGTTTGAATATTAATCTGTTCAAAATCTCATTGTTATAATGTTATATCAGCCTAATAAAAGTATTTTATAACAGAATAACGGAAGTAATAAAAGTGACTAATTCACTTTCAAATTCATGTTAGGGTTTACTGAAACAATGGCCCAATTTTAACAATTTGTCTACTTATTCGGCGGGCTATTTTGACATAGCCAAGTTGGCATTATAGGGTTAAAATCTATACCCATCTTTTGATATGTGATACTTTTAATAGGCTTTGATTATGTCGATTTTTCTTAGAAATTCAGGTCGTTTCAAAAATATATTAGGTATAGCTATACACATCAATTGTTACTTTTCTAGTGCATTTTTGTTTTTCAATTCAAGTTCATTCATCTGAAACAAATGACTAGTTAACTATCCCCATATCCAATATGGGTATACCTGTAGTGTGTGTTAGGGTTAAGCCATAATTTTATTCCAATTTTACTTCTATTACGAGTTCGAGGATGATTTTTGTTAACCAAGTGAATATACTCCTTGTCCATAGGTTTCAGTCCTTTTACACAACTTCATGTAAAGTAGGCAAACAAGATTAAGTAGGTATACATACTTCTAGAGCGCCTCTATATATACTGGTAACCAGGCAATGGTTGTGGTTTGCCATACGGTTAAGTTATCTTATTTATTTTTTTTTTCACTAGAATAAATATGAACAATACGTGATCACAATAGTTACTGTAAAAGTTTATTATTAATTAAAACTCGCACTCACTTAATAAGTTGACATTGCTCGAAGCAAAAACATAGTCAATCTCATGAAACGAAAGGAGATTTATTTTGGAGCAAAGTTATGTTCGACCATTGTGATACCAAGAGTGACTGAAACTACTTAGAATTATGGTTGTGCGGTACATGCCAGTAAATACCGGTTGACGCGAGACATGAAGGATTTCAATCAATGCAATCAGGAAAACAGACATCTATTCTGCATATATGAAGTTCTTGGAGAAACAAAATTATTTGCAATTTGCGAACAACATTAATAACATCGCTTATTTGCAACCAAGATTAGGGCGCTTCAGAAGTATGTGTACCAATATTAAGGTAATTAATTGTGTTCGCCATTTTTACATCAAAATGTGTGTCTGAAACCTACGGGGATTATATTAACTTGGCTAACACAGACAGTACCCGAACTTGTAATAGAACTAAAATAAGGAAAATTGGAATAAAATTATGGCCTGACCCTAACCTGGTACTACGGGAGTACCAAGATTAGGGTCATAGGTCATATATTATTATGTGATCCATCATAATTCAGTGCTAATCCTGTATAATGTATCATTTATTAATTATCAGTTATTGATTCCTTGTTACTTGCGCTCAAATTGTTTTCATTATTTCTGAGTAATCCACGATCAGCTGATTATAGTAATTCTTGTATTGGTATTATATCATGAATTCCTTGCCCCCTATATATTTAGTTTCTCAGAATTGATAATTCTTATTACTTTAGCTATTCTAGGAATTTTGAGCTTCTGGCAAAATGTATGTCGTGTGGTTAACTTGATTAGAACAGAAAATAAAATTAATGTTGTCCTGTCTTATGGAGTCACCCCTACAAACAGTTTTGTATACAACCCTTACCTTGTTACTTCCTAGCAATGACTGTAATTTCTAGTACAGCCGTCTGTATTACAGCATTGAAGACAGTCTGATAATTCATCAGAAGGGCTGTATGCCCCAGATTATGTTTTGGGTCTGTCTTACGCATCCCTTTTTTAACATTAATAATTGTCAGCTCACCTGTAATTATATCTTATAGTTTTGGGGCCAATAAACATACATTACATACTTGTGTGTTTGTTTGTCGTAATATACCAATCTATACTGTGAAATTCCATATTTAATGGGAATCTAGAAATGATAACTCACATAGGTTAAGGCAGGGTTTCCCAAACTGGGGTGCGGACCTCTGGAAGTCTGTCATGACTGACTGATGTCCTGACTGTATGATGACAAAATACACGTTGAGACTTGCCGTAAAATTAGATCTACGAGTTTGCTTGTCACGAATTGCTCTAAAATCGATGAATTGTGCAGTAAAAAGCAACCTCATCTATCACATTAATGTTGTTTGTGTTGTTATGTTTTAACTGAAACATTGTTTTCCTTCGTTGGTTCGAAACAAATTGATACGGCATAGGAAAATTGAGATTCACAAATAGGGAAACAAATAGTTTGGGAAACCCTGGGTCAAGGGATATGAGTCAAATATATTACCGGTCATTCAAAATATTTCAAATTTTGGAGGAAATTCATCATACATGAATTGACTTGAAAAATGAAGTTTTTGGATATCGGATAAGATTTTTATATTTGTCCAGAGGGAGAGAAAAACAATAAGATGACTTAAGCCTATGGTGAACCATGGTTCTAGTCCAGTTACCAGCAAATGCATGAATTTGTTAATGGGCATGCACGAAAATCCAATTTTTAACATAATCTCACTTTATACCATTAATGTGGTTTCACTGTCTGAACATTACACAGTTCATTAACTTAATAAGCTTGCAAGGTTCATTACCAAGCAAGGATTAGTTGTGCGTTGAGCAGATTGCGGCCGAGACAGCCTGTCTGTTCGTATCCTGTGGCTTGTTGTGTTTAGTTCTTGTGCAAACAATTCAATTCTTTACACCTCCAATAAACGTGTGTTTGTCTCTCTTTTGTCTTTCAAGTATAATGAACTAGTTTATCTGAAAATTGTCTATCCATTTACATAATATAGAAATAATACTGGTGTCGTAGTAACGTATCAATACAAAACTGTAATTTTTTTGTTAATTTCAAATCACTTTTCGTGAAATATGGGACTTGAAAGTTTTTGATAGCTAGCGACTCAAGTTCAAGTTGAGTAAATAACTCAGCTTCAGTAAATAAAATCCTTTTTGTAATATAAATATTAGTACAGGAACGAGATACTGTTTCTCAACTATCATGTCAAAATGTTTTTGAAAAAAGTTATGAAGGATTTTTAATAAAACACCTGTGTGTGAAGTAATAACATACTTGTTGAAATTATTGTGCGTCTTGTTTGCCATTATTGTCAATAATATTTGCGTCATGTTTGAGGGCAAAGGTGATTTGAGCCAGGCTGGGCAATAAATAATTACAATAAATGTTTTTGCTTTCGCAGAGTTTGTTTACATTGGTACTTAATTAAGTTTGATATTATCATTTCAAAAAATAATATTTTGTTTCGCCTTATTCAGCGACTTTATTAACAATGTCATGAACTTTTTGGCGCGACAAAGTGCGAATAAAGTGCTTATTTTGCGGTTTGCATTGTCAACAGAGATTCACTAATTTAGAAACACTTAACGTCTTGTTGAACTTTGACAAATACACAGCTGATATTGAAGAGTACTTCTTACACACCAATATGCTTTAAATGATTATCAGCTGTTTGTTATTGGCATGTGAATATTAAAAAGCTAATCAATTAGAGCTCTGAATAGATTTTTATTTAATTCTTTTGGGGGATTTGTGATATGCAATATATTGCGCTTAAAATTTTGTATTGAAAAATGGGTGTGTTTGGGGAGTGTTTCTAGATTTTATCTGGTTTGGAAGTACTTAAGCAACTGTGACTATCTTCTTTCCATTTACCGAATGTTGTGAGATGTATATGAATTCGTTCATTTATGATAATGAGCAGCAAACATTGGGATAAATCAATGTATTCCATATAGGAATTTGAAAAGTAAAACTAAGAGACCTTCTGAGGCTTCTAGGGACTTTCTTCCATTTTTAAATACTGAAAATTTACAACCGATTGGGTAATTTGTTACAGTGAAAAGCAATTTTTTCTGTTAACAACCACAATTTAGCTTTTAATAAAGCAGAGGTTCCCAAAGTTTGCCTGACAAGGGGCCAAAATTAGAAGCAAAAGGATATTCACGGGATTATGGCAATTTGAAACATAAATGCAGAATGTATTTGACTGTGATGCATAAGATTAAAAAATTCACATTATGGCTTGAAAATTACGAAATCCATCAATCTTATTCATTATCGTAACACATTCTTGACAAAGTGAATCACTAAATTAGTTTATGGAAATTCAAAGATTTTTTGATATAGTATGTATGTATTCCTGGAAACTTATTTCATTCAAGCGTTTTACGATATCGGAAAAAGTGTACTTACAAATTTGTGATGCTGGTGGAATTCTAAGAATGGAAATCATAGCCTATCTTATTATACTCATCTGTTTTTGAATAAAAAAGGGTCAGGGGGCGGGTTGTAGGTGGGGAAAGTGAGACTGCTGTCTCGATTTCTGCTTGACTTGATATACATGGTTCTCTTGTTATTTTACACAATCTGAATATAATTGGCTCAATTAAATTGGGATAATTAGGCCTTTTGAATCACTTTTTAGATCATATTTTAATTTAATTCATATTTTGCTCGCAGTAGAACGAAATTAGCTAACTGTATGTCACATTTTAAGGTTTTAAAAAAATAGTTTAATTATATTTTTCAGATCTGTAGAGCCAAATCTAAAAATGAACATGAGGCACTAGCTAAAATAAAATATAAAAAATTACAGTTTTATCAAATCCCTCTGGTCCATGATAGAAGACCAAATAACGTCCATTCTGAATAATTTGGTTTTACAGCCGGCAATATGCAATTTTGTATATATTTTCCATACAGTTTCTAATAATAATAAAAGCTCTCTGTGAATTTATTAACTTGTTATTTCACCCTGCTTTTTCACGCATTAATTTAGAATAATTAAAGAAGAACAAAAACTCTAAATCATCATATAAATCTCTTAAAATATAGCCCTAGTCCTGACTCTTGAGTAAGGCAGTTGGTATTGATAATTATTTCTCAGTAAAGAACCGGAATTATCTTGAAACTTGACACCTTGATAAAATAATTGTCTGTGAATCGTAAACAAAAGATTTGCAGTTGTTTTTAAGTCGTCACACTTCGTGCATGGTTGGTTTGACAACTTTGCTTGGAGGGTGTTTTAACAAATGGACCAGGTTGACATTTATTAAGTTTATGTAGGGTATTTTGAAACTTGCAAAGGGAATTTATCGATATCATATATTGTTTGGCCCTCACAGATGTGTACTCCCGTGGTGTGTGTACAGGGTTAGCGTTAGGCCATTATTTTATTATGATTTTCCTTATTTGAGTTCTATTACGACTTACGAGTTGGTGGAAAGTGAATAAAACCCCTGCCCATAGGCTTCCGTCCCTTACACAACTTGTTGTACAATAGGTGAATTTCGTTAGTTAAAATTTTGTTACCTTCATATTGGTATACACTCTTCTGGAGTGCCCACGGGTGTATTAAATGAAGTAAAAACACTTAAATAATTACTGATTAAAAAACAACAATCCCGGTTAAGATATATTGAGAAATGACTTCCTAACAAAATTGAAATTGTAAAGGGACTTTATGGACTGTATTATTAACAATATATTGTATGTCCTTGGAAGTATATTTGTCTTTGCAAAGCAGAGAATTGTTGCGTACGTTTATTATGTTGTCTGACTAAACAAGGTGTAATACAACATACAAGCACCCAGAGAAACACCATCATGGCTCAAGGCAAGCCTAAAATTGATTGAATATTTGCATACATTTGATATTACCATTAGTTACCATGTCATAAATGCTTATTTAATAAGAAGAATTAACAATATTATTTTTGATATAAGCTTGCAATGTTAGGCTTTTTGACCATCTCTCTGAATAAGTCTTTTTATGACAGGCACTCAGTTACGCATATTAGGATGTCCATGATAAATTGACTATTTGAATACTTTTGGAATTAGTGATATACAATGTAATGAATGCGGGAAGGAATTTTAGTGTTATATTTCCAATATACTTCACTAATTTCGCATTAGCGTAATACTTATTCATGCGCAGATTATAAACTATTGAAAACTTGGAGCGAACGTAAATCGTCGGTTTTCAAATAAAGGTAAAATGGAGACTCTTAAAATAATCGAAAAAAAAAAAAGTTTTAAAAAAGGCTGGGAACCAATGTACTAAGCATTAGCGGACACTCACTTTGATAAATTAACAAAGTTTAATTCGATACTTGTTTACTTGTCATAGCTTAGTTTATTTATAACTTATTAATTACATTTGTGAGGCCGTGGCTATGTATTATCCGTTCCGAACACACATCCCCTTGCGTCAATTAATCTATTTATAGTCAGACAAATTTCTTATAGCGATGCATTCTCTCATTTGGTAAATTAGTGCGGATGGATTTAGACGGTAATTCAATGACTATAACGTGACATAACATATAAATTTCCGAGAAAATTTGCATTAACTATGCGACTGATGAGTCATAACCTTGATTAATGTATCCATGGAATACATGGTGCCAAAAATTTAATAAAAATAGTGGAATTTTCTATTTTTTAACAAAAAGAATGCAAATGCATCGGTTCAAAGGTTCATACCGTCGGTTCGTTGTGTCAGAAATATTTCAACATCATTTTTCAGGTCAAAATTTAAGATAAAATAAAAATGTTTTTAGTTTTAGATGTCTGGAGGATTTTATTTTAAGCTAAATTTGAAAATTAAGATTTTTTAGAATTTGAATACTGGTAATTGAATTTGATATTTTTTTTTGTTTCTACGATTTTGCATAAATTCATTTTTTTTTATTTTACAGCACGAAAGTGATAAAGCAACCAGGGGGTACTAAGATGGGTAAGCAATTGTTTTATAATTAACTATTTACAAATCGTTACTTATAGAAGTGGAATTGAAATAAGTTTAATATTCATATCGATTCTAATTTTTCTTCGACATTTAATTTAGGATAGTAGCTTACATTTTAGAAATTTGTAAATCTAACCACGAATTTATTAATCCAAGAATTTGTAAGTTTGTTAGTCTAAGCAATATGCAAAAGACTTGTTGGTGATGATTGTTATTTGTCAAACAGCTATAAAGTGCTAAAAAATCAAATTTAGGAATATGTCAATTTTAGCATCGAATTTTTTGGGATAAATAATAAATTTGTCTAAATTAATACAAAGATGGTAAATTAAAAAAAAAAAAAACAGTAGAATATAAAATATTTCTGTACCTATTTGGGCGTTTTAATTTCAACATTTTGGCTTCTGTAGTTTTCAAATATTATACGTAGATTGAAAGTTTACGTACGTGTCGTCATTGCAGGCATAAAATTATTAGTTTAAATCTCTTTATTTATCGAATGCTTATCGTACGACACGACACGCAATCTATGTTGTTTCATATTTATTTTTAACGTTTACATATGGAGATATACCGGCTTATCGATGTATTTTTAAATATAATCCAACGTCATACCCCCAGGCAAAGTTTATAAGAAGACTGGCAAAGGACGTATCATGGAGAAATCTACCAAAAGACTAAGTCCTGATACTCGAGCTCCAACACCTCCTGTTTCAAGGCACACACCTACTATAATAGGAAGGTCTGTGATATATATTTTACTAAAGGATAATTGCCTCAATAAATTTTGGTACTCCTGTAGTGTGTGTACCAGGTTAGGTTCCAATTTTCCTTTTTTTAGTTTCGTTATAAATTCGGGAACTGTCTGGGTTAGCCCCTTGCCCATAGCTTTCAGTCCCTAATACAACGTGATGTAAAGTGGGCGAACAAAATTAGTTACCTTCATATTGGTACACACTTTACTGGAGCGCCGCGTGAGGTGTATCCCACATAGTAGCACCATATCCAACCCTATTAACGACGCAAGTAAATCCTCTATTCATTTACAAACTAGAACTTCTATAGCACTGAATTATACAGTTTCCTGCCTTGAGTTCCAACATCGCAGGGAGTTCATAAAGTCTTTCAATTTTTTAAATTTTATAAATTGAATTTTAAATACTTCGTTGAACCATAATAGGTGGTGTATACCTAAAAAAGTAATAACAATAAGCTGTAAATAGAACAATAAACACTAACAACACAAACCTGTTTTAAGATATATTGAGAAATTCGTAACAAAATTGTAATAATTTTATTCTATTAACTTTTGAGAATAATATCAACAACAATCTATCCCTCAGGTCATCTTCACCCCTGACCCTTTCCAGCAGGGACAATGGGGCTTCCCCTTCTGGTGGAGCCCCAGGATCGGGGAGGAATAAAACAAAACCTACCATCACCTTATCATCCTCGTCAACTTCACAGAAGAATTCAACTCTTCAGCCGAACGCTGTTCCGTCTGCATCCTCTGTGGCGACAAGACCTTTATGGTTAGCTGAATTCAAAATTTTTTTGTCTCATCGTATTTCTCTGTGTATAATACACATTTTCAGGTTTGAATTTTGCTTCCGGTTTCTTTTTGAAGTGCAGCGTCTGAAAACACGCTTGGAGGCGAGTAATATCATATCATGATTGGCAACCATATCGCGGCAAATAATTAAATAACATAATAAATCAGAGATAGAGTAAACATATGGAAATTCGCTATGCATTTTATGTATGGAAATTGAAAACTTTTGCGTATTATGGGAGGTATGGGAGTTGATTATATTTAATATTTTGAATTATTGATGGTATATGACCTAATTCATATTTTAAATTGAAAATATGGCACTCTAAAAGTGTGTGTACCAATATGGAGGTAACTAATATTATTCGCCTACTTTACATCAAGTTGTGTAAAGGAACTGAACGCTATGGGCAGGGGGTTTATTCACTTGGCTAACACAGACAGTCCCTGAACTCGTAATAGAACTAAAATAAGAAAAAACGTAATAAAATTAGGGCTTTTCGGCTATGGCCATCACATCACTGTACTAAATTACATATGAAAATTTATACATACTATTCGGTATACATACTTTTCCTAATATGTGAGCAAAATTCTCAATCTGATTTTACTACATAATAGTGGAAATTTATATATCAATGACTGCTTGAAGGAACCTTTTTTCTGTGTGATAGTATGAAAATGCTTAAAAAATACCAGACAGGAATTTTGACATGAAAATTCACATTTTCTATTCAAACATGATCCTTCATGTCCGGTTTTGCTCACAAAAGTATCGATTTTTTTGCTAATATGGTTTTCGATTTTCAGGGATCGTGTTGCTCACATTCTTGCGGTTCGATCATATAAATATCCAGAGATGGTTATCAGGTTATCAAGAGATAAGCCACCTGATAAGGCCAGATTGCAAGAGATTTTATCTAAGGTAATTTGCTACCATCGAGAAATTCTTTGCATATCATAGATTCGATGATGATCAGATGAAACGTTGCTGCTGCATTTTTTCCTAGTGTTCCTACTTTTTTAAATTGAAATTTCATTTTGAATGTGGTTAGAATGACATGGGCGAACTACGGCCCACGGGCAAATTCGGCCCCGTTGGGTAATTCAATTTGACCCACCTCCTGATGCTGCCACAACCAAATTTTGATGTTTTAGCTAAAAAAAATACCTCAGTTTTGGCACGAGGCCTATTGAATTCCACTTTTGCTTTTGTAACACTGAATATTGTTCATAAAATGTAACTTTTTATGTCACACTTACATATCCCGCCATTCTAGGTGGGCAAAATTTGTGGCCTTTGGTTGAAAAACTTTGTACACCCCTGTGTTATAACATTAGACTTTTAACAATGCTGGTTTCGAAGGTTACACATCTTGAGTTCGAATCCCATCCCCACCTCCTCATACAGAGTGTAATAAATTGAGTAGGCAATGCGAACCAGAGTGATTTATGTCATTCTAAAAATAGTAGATCTTCACTATATCAGTGGGTGCTCTTAGTCTAACAGGACCATGTGTGCTCCAGAAGTGTGTTTACCAATATGGAGGTAACTAATTTTTAAGTTGTGTAAAGGGAAGAAAGGGCAGGGGGTATATTCACTTGGCTAACACAGACAGTCCCGAACTTGTAATAGAACTGAAATAAGAAAAATCGGAATAAAAATATATCCTAACCCTAACCTGGTACACATACTACGGAAGTCCCGTTTTTTACTCCAACTGTTTGTATCTTGCTACATTGTATGGACTCACTTTCGCAATCCGAACTCTTTTGAACTTGTTAGCCTGAAGAAACCGCGACGTCACTACTGTTATTCAATATGTATTCTAACCCTAGTCGACCTATTTTGTTTCCTGTGGAACTCGAAATAACGACAATATGAAGAATTATAAATTCGGTTGTTTCGAGCGCAACTGTCTTATGATTGCGTGTTTGTAGTTATGTACCTGATGTCCTTATTAGAGTTTTTAATTTATAGAATTTTTCAAGAATTATTTCAATTCTGGATATTCTGAATTAACTTCTTTTGCACCAAAATCAAGATGTATATGTCAAATTTTTCAGGAAAAATCTAGTGCAAAATAAGACAATGATGCAGAGAATACGATAAATGTGAATATCTAAACACTTCAAACACATATATTACGGCTTTTGAAAAAAAAAATATTCCGAATTCTATCTGAACTCCATTTTTTGAGATCCCTAGTTTTGATGCATTACTATTTATTTTTACTTCATTCCAATTTCATAATTTTTGATTATCCCCATTTTCATGGTCTATTCAAAGTTTGGTGCTCCAGGAGTATGTGTAGCAATATGGAGGTAACTAATTTTGTTTGCCTACTTTACATCAAGTTGTGTAAAGGGACTGAAACCTATGGGCAGGAGTTATATTCACTTGGTTAACACAGACAGTCTCCGAATTTGTAATTGAACTAATATAAGGAAAACCGGAATAAAATTATGGCCTAACCCTACCCTGGTACACATACTACGGGGGTACCCAAAGTTTCACTTGGTGTTTTTTGACTCTATTGATTTCCTATTTCCTGTAATCTTACCAAATCATAAATGATTACAAATTGACACATGCAGTAATGCTGGATGTCTCTTTATGCGGTTGAATCATTTTTAGTATTAATGTAAATTATTTTATAGTAAACTATCAATTTCAAATATAAAATCCCCAAAAAATATGTTTTAAATTTTATTTTATTCCTGAATTGTTTTTCAATCAAATTTGTTCTTTTCTAAAGCTTTATTTACGAATGTCTGTAGTTCCCATCCCACAACCTTTTATTATTTGCTTTCATCAGCCAGTGTCAGGTTAATTTTTGACCAGATTTATCTGGTTCGAACTTGAATTTTCTTGAACAAAAATTGGTTACCGAATCTTTTCACGATCTGGAATGAAGTTTTATATCACAAATTACACCCCTATCTAACATATGATTATCTCGCTGAGATATATAATTTCATTGACGGAAGTTTTTCATTGATTAACTGATAAAAGATAATGATTCTATCTATGACAATAATACTGGGGTCGCCCACACTGATTCTTTGAAGTTTGGCCAGAATAATAGTTGTTAAATTTCAAAGTTTTTTCTTCTCCAGTTAGTGTGTATCAAATATCTTTCAACTCTCTTAATATCTCTTACTGCATTATCAACAGCCAAGTGTGGCCCATCATGGTGGCTTCTATTACATATGGATTCACTTTGGAATTCTTCTTTCATGAACCAATAGTTAATTACGCTAGATTTGAAAACTTGGAAATAAAATTTGTAAATATTTCGGATTTCAATATACCTTTTTGGTTTATGCTTTTATATAGTAAAGCATAAATCTAGACAAAAAAATTTATGCAAATTTTCTTGAATACAAAAAATCTTGCTTCCTGAAGTTCGTAAACAAGTACAGGAAGCATGGAACGGAAGTCGTGGCGTCTGTTGATTGATTCCACTGTTTGTTGTGGTACGAGTTATAATTAGTATGAAAACGTGTGATTGCTCTTCAAGATAACTTTCTAGAAAAATTATTAATTAGTGAAAGGTATTTAAAAATTGTTTTTTTCCCTTAAATAGAAATTATAACAGTAATCGTGTAAACCTCAAAAATTTTAATTTTGTTCACTTTTTTATCATTTCTTATTACAACAGGTTGCCTCTAACAGGAATATACAAGGAAGTGGAATCGAATATTGCTTGCTACGAAGTAATTACAACAGTCTGGAAATTGATTCGTGGCCTGGATATACAGAAAACGAAAGAAAAATTGCCAAAAAGTAAGTTTATATTTCCTCTGTGCTTACACCAGGATATAGCTTAGGGCAGCGATTCCTAACCAAAAGTCTGTGGCCCTTTTAAGAGGGCCACAAAGCAGTTGAAGGGGGACACAATGCTACGGCAAAATTGATTCTACTATTTCCTTTACAAGAAAACTTCTCCTTTTTCCCAATCTATTTCTTGACAAGGTTATTTCACAGAGCGTTTCCACTTTGTTGAGCATGAACTGTTTGCACCTAATGGGATTCAGAATATCCCATCACGTAACACTATAAATACTACTATAATGACAAACAGGATGGCCATGAGTGCTGAAAGCCTCTGGAAGGAAGTCATAATAGGTCGGAAACCGTTGGCCTAGGGTTTTCAAGACTGCATATCCTCGAGGGTAAAGTCGGATATTTTGGCCAATTAGAATGGCCTTATTAAGAGGGTTATGGTGTTTTCAGTCAGTAATCAGTTCATAATGCGGTTAATTAAAGGTTTTCATAGCATTTAATAATAGAAACCGAATTCTCACTGGATACTGTTAGAAAAATTTTAACATTCACTACTGAAGCTAATTAAAAATATTCATTAGATTTGATCTTGTCCGCCTTATTTTGGATGTTTGCAATTTTTTATTTTGGATATTTACGTTCCATCCACATATTTTCAACATGTTTTTTGAATAAAACATAAGTTTGCCTTACTATCTATTATTGGTAGCTTATTGTTAGCTAGTTATTTTTGAGGTGGGGTGCAAAACTTGACAAACTCCAAAAAGGGGGCGCGGCTTAAAAAGTTCGAGAACCACTTTGTTAGATATTGCAACTTTGCAGCTTTGCATTTCAACATACAACATGTCATAACACTTGTGTATGAGTGAAGTATGCTCACTAAAACCACAGTTTGATTAGCGCGAAGATTTAAATCCGGGTTTAGGCTGTTATGTAACAACAAGTGGAACGCTGACCCGGACATCTCTATGCCATTTTTGTTCAAGTCTCGTTTAATTACCCCCACTTTATTAACAGTTTGATTTGCTCCCAAGGTTTGAATCCGGGTTTGGAGTTGTTATGTACATGGCATGGACACTCTTTAAGTACTCGGATTGTTATTTTTTTGATAGGCATCTCTTTATTGATTATATTATATACAGTGTCAACATTTTTTAAAATTGCAAAAAGAATTTATCGATACCATATATTGTTTTGGCCCTCACAGATGTATTAAATGAATTAAAAATACTGAACATTACTGATCAAAAAAAAAAAATCAGGTCAAGATATATTGAGAACTAACTTCATACCAATATTGGAATTGTAAAGGCACTTTGAGGACACCCTGTATTATAGTTCGTTGAATTTATAGAATATTTAACAATAATTATGTTTTGTTATTTGTATTATTTGTTAACCTGAAATGGCTCCCATAGCAAGCTCTCACGCTGAAATAATTTTTTTTAGTTAGTTCTTGAATGGTGAACCACTGACCTAAGGGTGACAAGGTGAACTGATATTTTTAGTGTTCCGTCAAGTCACGAAATAAAAAATAATTTGTAAAATAATTTAACATTTCAATGCTCAAATAATTGTAATAAAGCTGTAAGCCTGTAACATATAATCTTTTTTATTTAGTCATATGTTTCTCAGAGTATTTCTGCATAGCTGATTTAATGTTTTTGTTAGGTAAATGTGAGCAAGTGCGCGACAACTATGTTGCATCATCGGTTACAGTTACCAGTTAAAATGGTTGATCTGACTCTTCCATGCTAAATTGGGAACACTGGAGAGATTTCGATCATTCCGAAAGTATTATCTTATTACATGTTGTTAGATACGAGTGATTACTTATAAAAGGCCTTGTTCAGAGCCAAAGGTGTGAACAAGCTTCGTATAATGTTTTTAGGAATCTTGTTTTTGTAAATTTTCCAGTACTAGGTCACACCAAGTAATTTACTTTTCGAAAGCGATTAAGAATAAATTTTAAAAAACTTCTCTAAATTTAGAAAACAAGCCGAAATCATGGGAAATGGTGAAAACCGCAAACGATCGTACACAAACACATTATCCCCACCTGAATCAGCCAACGAAAGCCTTGTAGAAGAAGAATACTCCAATCCAACGTCGAAAAAGCAAAGAGTATCTCATCTTAAAGGACGAACGAGTGGTGCCTCTTCACCATTCGAGGGCGATAAACAAAAATCGAAAAGCCCTGTTTCACAAAAACCCGCGATTTCTTTCGGAACGACGAAACTTCCAACAGAGAGTCCGAAAAAGCAATCGCCTCAAAAAAGAGACTATCATAGCCTTCATAGAGAGGAAAGGCCGAATTTCAATAGCCATAATCATCGTGAACTTACAAATAAAACTTCCCCTCCTCTTCCAAAGTCTTTGAAACTCGAAGGTAATATTAAATTAAGATATTTATTTCGGATGAGAGGAAAGCTGATAAGACGGCTTAATCCTATGGCAATGTATAGCCTCTCGTCCGTATGTGATCAATTAGCCAGTTTCAGATGCGTAGACTTGATAGTGTAGGAAGTCATAACCGACCATCGGTCTGTGAACTACTCTACAGCAATGTGGAGTCTAGCAATCCTCTCGTACATAATTATCCTTCACTGGAATCACTCGGTGCGATGGTAAATGGATTCCTAAAGCCTTGCACGATGTGCCAAACACAGATCCGAAATTTTGGATATAAATGGATATTTTCTTTTTATTCTTAATTATTTGGCTAGAATCGGTGGCTGCTGACTTCGCTGACCTTTTGGTCGTGTCACCCCACCCCAGTCTTTACCAAAATAAGTGCAGCGTAATTTATTATTTCATTATGCATCTGTTTTCTGGGTAACAAAAGCTCTCTCTTGGTCTGATTACGTTTGTGAAATAATATCCAATAAAAACTTGTTCTCAAAAAACAAATTTTTCTTTAGAGCCACAACGAGAGACTGAAGAGGAAGATGACTTTTTAAAGTAATAAAACTTTATTGCTTTGCTATATCTTCATTCCTCAATTTAACCTTTTAATAAAAAAAATACTCTTCCCCTATAGATACAATTGTCATTGTCAATACCATGCAATCATTTATCTAAGACTTGGAGTTACCCTAGTGCTCTAAATGGACTGACGCAATAATTACCCTTTTATTCAAAATTGGAGTTAAAGAAATTCTCACATGGCAGAGGGTGTTGTTTAGATTGAAGCGGTAAAAAGCATTCTCTTCAAAAAATCAGAAGTTTCGACTAAGAAGAATTTGTTTCAAGCTACAGTCATGATATTATATTTGTTGTTGGGCCGACGATCATTTTCTTTGTACTCATTTGAAAAATAACTGTTTTTTAGGAGATACACTCCAATATCAAATATTGAACAGAGAGATCGGTATAAGAAAGATTTTTATGCGGAATATCAAGAATATCTTTGCCATCATTCTAATGTAAGTTATGAATTTTTATGCTGCAAAAATTTCAAAACTAACTTGATCAGATACTAAGGCAGCGAAAAATCATTGTTGATTTAACCTTTCATTTTTAGTAGGATAGGATGAGATTTTTTTTATTCATCCTGGGGGAAAGGAAAGCCAATAAGATGGCTTAGTCATATGGGGAAACACGGCGTCTACTCTGGTTACCAGTCTACTAAGGGTATGGAAATAGACGAATAGTTATTCAAATATTAGTTTCAGATGCATGGATTTGATGGTTGAGAAAGCATGGGAGGAAGGGGCATGATGCTGATAAAAAATAAAAATATTTGTTAGATTTGATCTTGCACACCTTATTTTGAATATTTACGTTCCATCCATGTGTTTCTTGAATAAAACATACTTTCGCTTTACTATCTGTTATTTGTAGCTTATTATTAGCTAGTTATTTTTGTTGTGGGGTGCGGAACTTGACGAATTCTAGAAAATGACTAGAATCTTAAAAGTTTGAGAACCAATGAGTTACATAAACCACTCTATTATGGCAATGAGTCCAACAATCATTGTACATATTTATCTCCCGCAGAATTGTAACATGTGGACTCGTGCAGGTAGGCCTAGTGCCTAGACTATGCAATTTGCAAGGCCCTTCTTTAACAATAATGATATATCGATTTCTATTATGATGTCCTATTGTCGTTCGAGGTTATTTGAAAATATATTATGGCTTCTTTTTTTTTTAATGAAGAAGAAATATTTATTTCCTAGGTTGCAGCTGTATCGGGTAGGTTTGCGGAACTTCAACGTAAATTAGGTGAACACGAGAGAGGTTCCGAACAATATAAAGCTATTTCGAAGCAAGTTATTCAAGAATATAAGAAAACGAAAAAGGTGACAAATTTGTTTTAATCATTTTGTATCTCAGTTCAGGTTTTGGTACTCCCTGAGTATGTGTACCAGGTTAGGGTTAGGCCATAATTTTATTTTATTTTTTTTCTTCATTTTTCTGATTTTCCTTATTTTAGTTATATTGCGAGTTCGGGGACTGTCTGTGTTAGCCAAGTGAATATTATACCTCCTGCCCGTAGGTTTCAGTCCGTTTACACAACTTGATGTAAAGTAGGCGAATGTAAGCCCTTAAACAGCGCATGGTTCCTCGTCCACCTTATAAACAAATTGGTTTTGATGTTGGCAAGTTACAAGCATGAATGGTCAAAATCGTGATAAAAATGTTAATACATGCACTGGTCTCTGACCAATGTACTGATATAAGAGCTATAAGTTACCACTGTTAGGCTAGGACATCTGGTTGTTATCTAAAATATACATATGAAATTTTTTTTGAATATTTGGTTGCGTCTGGTGATAGGTTGTGATGAAGAGAAGAAAGTGGTTGTCTTTACTTTATTTATTTGGGTTTTCTATCCAATTCCAAGATTGCAGCGTATCATCAATTGAATTTCCGGTGCACCCCAAGTATGGGCATCAAGATGGCGCACAACCTGAACATATTATGTGCACCAGGTTATGGATATCTGGTTGGGCCCCATCTTGGTGTACATACCACTGCCATGCCGAATTTCCTTTCTCTTCAGCATGTTTTTTTCACATGTACAATTCAAGTTTGGAATTGAATCAATTTCATGTAATACTGTTAGGGATACAAGGGAGTATATTTATGAATATTTGAGCAATCTTGTTTTTTTATTTCAGAATAACGAGTATCATCGCGAACGGGAGAGAATGCAGTTTCTTCATCGTAAATTGCAACATATAAAAGACTTAGTCAGCACTTTTGATCGACATAAACTAGCGAGTCGCTCTGATAACGACCCAGGACTTTGTATGCAATCTAAAAGTGTCACTAAAGTTGCGTAACATTGCTGACCCTCGACCTCGTAATGACCTGACGGAACGGCAACATGGTCGAACGAACGACCCGGTACCTATGACAACGATATAGACACCATGGCAACACCCTAGCGATTCAATCAGTGCTTTGAAAAAGAATAAATAGGACAATAGGAGGTCATCAAATAAAATGCTCTCAATTTTGACCAAAGACACATAACACAGTTTTTTTTTCTTAGGACGGCAAATGTAGTTAACTCTAAGAATAATTAGCAAAACAGAAGTGCAAAATTAATTAGAATTTTTTTTTGTTTTCATAGAGGAATATTTAAAAGATCGACTAATGAAATTTTGACTCCCCAACTACAACTCTGAATTCCTGAAGTAATGACATTTTTATTATAAAAAACTTTTTCGATTTTTGGTAGAAAATTGGATTTTGATTATCACCATAAAAAGTCGATTCTCTACTCATGGAAATTTGAAAATACGGCTTCGATTTTCAGCGTGCCAATATCTTGGCTCCACACAACTGGTTATGGTTTATTGAAGCATAGAGAAATGCAATTGTAGTTGGTAACTGAAATGGCAAAATTATTCAAATACTTCAGGAATACTATACATCTTCGGTTAGAAATCTGTGGATTGTGATCTCTCATATTTCTAGTGTAGGAAGAGTGGCAATAAATTGGGGCAAAATTTTATTGATATTGATATGAGTAATATTCTCATTCGATGACATCCAAATTATGTCCTTGTTTTAGGCATTGTTTATTTATTTATAATATAATAGAATAAATTAATTCAAATGTTCGGAAAATGCCGATTTTTAGTGATCACATCGCTACAGCAAATATTTAGACGGTACAATAATCAGCAAAAATGCCAAGTGCTAACTACAGAGAAGCATTTAAAAGAGAAAGCTTGTAAATTTGCCAAATGCATATATAGTCTTGCACACGTAGCATATCTTGAATTTTATTTTTAAAAACTTTGTATTCAAGATTCATATAAATTCGCCATATTTAGGATTTTTGTTGAATGGGAAATAAGAAGCATCATCGATCAGATTCTTATTATAAACTGTAAATTTGATTAATGTAAATGTTAAACACAGACAAGCATAATTTTACTTTTCCAAAATAACGATTCCCAACTTCAAATACATTTTGAATTTCATTTAATGGGCTTTATCCCAAATAAGGTGAAAGTTATAAAAGCTGTTTAAAAACTGAAAAATTTTTGATTCTCGAATTCCTGTAACTTTTATTTAAAATACTTTGGCTAATATTGCTTCCAACTATGATTAGATATCTGCTTGAAGAACTATTTTTTTCATAATATTTTCTCGAATTTCAATGCCTACTTTTTTGTCTCAAAATCCACTCAATTGTCTTTGGAAAAAATTGAATTTTTGACTGGTTTTCATGATTCATCTGCATTTCTCAATATTTCTGTTCCCTTTTTCTTAATATTTCTGTCATCTACAACTCTAAAACCTTCAAACGAATATTTTCTCAATGGCCCTTGTACGCAGAATTACCTATAAGGCTGTAACCGTTGTATTTTTGCTTTGAGCAAACTCATTTTTAAAACTTCTTCCAATTATTATGTGCTCTGTAATATCAGTATTTTTGTCAAATATGGTGAGTATTGGAAACTGCTAAATAGAGTAAAATGTTCGCAGTTCAAAATGTAACCAAATGAAGCACAATCGTGTTTTTAAACATATCAGGGTTAGGCTGCGTAGCGTTAAGAATAAAATAAAGTCATTCAGCTCTGTTGACGAGACCCAGGGCAGTGGCTGAGAGAAATTCACAACCCTTCAAACTTTACGTCTGAAAAGTTTTTTGGCTCCGAGCCCTGATTCCAAGTTTAGGGATTTTTGATTCCGACTCTTGCTGCTCCGAAAAAATTAAATTTTAATGACAAAAACTTTGGCGTGTGGAAGCCTTTTTTTAATAGAATGATAAGAACGGTGATATTTTATCGAAAGCGAGAATTGTGATTATCTTCTATTTCAATGTTTTTTTAAATTTGGTCACAATAAGTCAATCTTCCTATCCTCCCATTGCTGATAACGAAATATTGAGATGGTATGAAGAAACTAAAAAAAAAAATTTCATCTATGGCTGGTTTATAAATTTTCATTGACATCAATATAGCTTTGTTGCATTCTGTGAATTTCAACATCCGAACTTGAATTTATTTCCTTTTGATGAATTCTAGATTAGAAATCTATTCAAAATCAACATCCCAACACAACTAACACTGTGAATTCTGTAAAGTTGAAATCGTGCCTGATATATAATCATTCAACTTCACTTGGAATTATTTTTAAATGCATTAACATTCTAGCTTTTTAAAAAAACAAAAATTTAAGATTTTACAGAAAACTTGGTACTCCCATAGCATGTGTACCGTACTAGGTTAGGGTTAGGCCATTGTTTTATTCCGATATTCCTTATCTTAGTTCTATTACGTGTCCAGGGACCGTCTGTGTTAGCCAAGTAAATATACCCCTGCCCATAGGTTTTAGTCCCTTCACACAACTTGCTGTAAAGTAGGCGAACAAAATTAGTGTGTACCATATTGATACACACACTTCTGAAGCGCCGAAAACTTTTTAAAATAATATAATTCTCATTCAAGATGGTCAACTAAAAAGTGTGAACATTTTACAAGTTCAAATTTTTTAATCATAACTACTTTTGTGCATAAAATATTGGCCGTGCTATAATTACAATTACCTACTATTAACTGGACCCGCAATTAGGAAATATTATTAAATTGGTCATATTAAAATCTTTGAGATTTGGAAGTCTCCCCTTGTGATCGATGTACTTCTTTGAATTAGGAAAGAAAAATAGGGGCTCCCGAAGTATGCGAACCAAGATGGCGGACATCGGAATGTAATATGTGTACTAGGTTAGGGTTAGGCCATAATGTTAGGTATAAATACTACGGGAGGCTCTTGGCTAGTCTTCGAACTGATAATAGGACTAAAATAAGGAAAATCGGAAAAAAATTATCGCCTAACCCTAACCTGTTACCCATGTTACGTTCCGATGTCCGCCATCTTGGTTCGCATACTTCAGGAGCACCGAAGAATATAGTTTAAATCAGGGGTTCCCAACCTTTTATGGCTTGTGAGGCCCCTTCTGGAACCTTTCGGCACTTATGGCTCCACTGTTTATCATTCCAGTGGTATTTAGAGTGTTATTTTGATTGGTAAAGCCAAACCCATTATATTCAAACAATTCATGCTCAAAAAGTGAAAACACCCTGTGAAATCCTTATCTAGCAATGAGACTAGTAAGAACGGGTTGTTTACTTGTAAAGTGAAAAGTAGAATAAGTTTTGCGCTTAGCATAGTGCCCCCTTTCAACTGCTCTGTGGTCCCCTTTGATGGGCTTCTGTTCGGGAACCGCTGGTTTAAGTATTCAATGAAAGTAACCTCCGATTTACGACTGCTCTTTTGCTTCTGTGTTAGCGTATCCATTAGCAAGGATACCTCAGAAATTATCAAATATGTTATACTATGTGACTCAAAAGCAAAATGCAAGACTATTGAACCAGTTTATTCCTGTATTCAATTTCAAGATATGACTGAGATAAAAAGTCCCTGTGCCATTCAAAATATTTATAAAAATAAGTGTCTTAACTTCACACCAATAATCCAAGAGTAGTTATCTGAGAGATTATCTGATGGTTCGCCATATTTTTAAGTCTTAACGACTTTCCCCTCCCCTGAGATAAATATGTAAATCCAATCCAAGATTTAAAATTAATGAGATTCGCATTTCGAGATTCAATTAAATGGGTAGATGACCTATGACCTCCTCAAATAAGTGTTTTGTCTGTAGAGCAGAGCTCGAAATTGGTAAAAACAATGTGAGAAGTTACCTGGTGATTTCTTTGAGTTATGGTGTTGTTTGGTTTTTATTTTTATTTCTTTCCCTGCAAACAAAAAGTGTAAAAAAATTAATGGTGTTGCATTGTTTTATTCGCTTTCATTGGGGCCTTTGGTGTTTGTTTGCTTTAATCAAGAATTGAGCAGTTTGTGACAAGTTGTTCGTCATTTTATTCAAGGTGTATTAGTTGAAAGTGTCTTCTAATTGGTTGTGCAGAAATATTCTTTGGGTAAATGTACAGAAATCCCCATGCATCTATGAGAAAATTGGTTAGCAATTTTTATACCAGACATGGTCTTGTAACTTGAGAGGCCATGGTTCTCTTTATGATTAAGCCTTCTTATCGACTTTCCTCTCCACCAGAATAAATATGAAACTTCTGACAATGTTTTGTTTATAGCAATGTCGGAATTGATAATCTGGTCCAAAACTGTTCAATTTTTGATTAAAGACAATATTTAATTAAAAAAATATTTATGCTTTGAGCAAACTATATATTTTATTTAAACGCACCATAAATTTATTGCTTGCATTGTCATGTATGATGAAGCCACCCAAAAAATTTGAACTGTTTGTACGAGCGGCCAGAAAACTGTTACATATAATTCAATTGAGTTTATTATTTTTTTCGGATGTAATGCAGATATATATTGCCTTGCTTTTAGTTTTAACATTGTCAAATCTAAAAATTCTTGAAAACTCTTAAGCAGCAAACAATGATAGAAGAGCCATTTAAATATTCCATTGCATGCCCGTTTGCCGCTTGCTCCCTTTTTTATGTAATGGAGCCGTACAAATTTGTCGTTATACTGAAATGGCCCATTAGATGAGGATTGATGTATACGGCTCATTAGTAACTGTTTCTGCTATCCTTTCTGAAAGTGATATTTAAAGTTGCAGCATTTTTTCAGTTTGCGAAGTGGCTTTTGTCTGATATGTGTATTCGGTTTCTGACTCTGCTCTGTGTTGCATTATTGCCGAGTTCCATCGGCTGAAATTTCTTAATTTTTATCAACCAATTTATATCGTAAATGATGTAATTGTGAGATTTTTTTGTGAGATGAAAATTTTCCTTTTTTTGAGTTTATTAATAAATTTATTTCAAAATATTTCTTCGTGATAAATACAATGTGATTCTTTTACTGGGAGGGCAGTTTATTCAGAATTTGCTCAGAGCAAGGAAAAGGTCGATTCGTATGGAGCAAGGCTTGCGGTGCGGCGCATCGCGGTAAGCGTTGGGAATACGCTCGCCATCGCACCTCTGATCAACCTGAGTGGGGTTTGGTTATGTGCGAGACAGTGGCGTAGCATCCACCTCCGCGGGAGGGGCCCAAGTGGTTAGAATTTAAAAATTTAAGCCGCAAAACCAAAAGCTACATTGCAAAACCAGTAATGCACATCTTATAACGTTGAGGTTAGTACTGTCAAATCGTTTTGTTACGTAACAATGCCAGGCAGTCGTCGATTTTCGGCGTCTTTTGGTTTGACAGCACCGGCAAAATTACGAAGGCTGTCAGAATGAGGTCGAAAGCAAAACCTCTCAGTGGCGCACAGAAACGCAGAAGAGGAAGCACGTATGAAAAAAATCAAAGTAACCAAGATAAACGGCAAATTTTGGGTTACCATTGCCTTTTAATAGCAACATGTTATGCTTTTTAACGAAATAAAAAAAGCGTTGGTTTAGCTTATGTCCGAGAGCCTTTAAGGGTCATTCCACGAAATAGTTTTGCGGGGGGCACAAGAGTCTTGCTACGCCACTGGCGAGAGGATTGGTAGAGTCTTTGCCACGTATGGTGGTTCACGTAACTGCTGGTCAGTTACGGTTCTTCCGCCATCAAGTTCATACATCTGAAACAAATACAGGGAGTCCTCGGGTTACGACGGTCGCGACTTACGCTGTTTCGAGGTTACGAACGCGCACTCCATAACGCTGTTTCGAGGTTACAATCGCACTCCATAAAAAATATAAAAGATAATACTGTACTGTACAGTATTTGCTTTTATTCATGTGAATTGTTGAATATGGAATTGTTTTCTCTTTTTTTAATGGAGTACTTTTTTACATTATTTGTACATTATATTGTATATTATATACTTTACAATACAGTTCGATATGTATAGAGTAATTTATATACTGTACTAGTGGCGGCGCGTGGTCATTTTGACAACCGGGGCAAGCTACTGCGGGACCAAGTCACCCCCATCTACGGGGACAGGATGAGCGCTGTAAGTTCTCCCATCATTTTATGAGTATAAAAACCATTCCATCGGTAACAACCAATCGGCAAAAGCGACAATTTTTAACGATAAGAAAGTGTCTTTAAAACCTGTCCAAGTCAAGGGATTAATAAAATAGACATAGGTTATTTTGAAACCTCTTTCAAAAGGAAAGGCAATATTTATCCAGATAAATACAATGACATATTAACAGAAACTTCGGGAAAGCAGACAAAACCTAAAATAAGGTTTAAAACGTTACTATGAAGAAAGGAAAGTTAATGCAAAGATAAGGACATGCGTCGCTCACTCATAGATATATATGCTGCTAGACTTCTACTGCTTGAACATATATGCAACACGGCGCGGTTTTTTGGAAGCAAAAGGCTCAATAACGCGCTGATTAAAGTCATGCATCCCAGAAATAACGTCTCTGTGAATGGATAAAACAGCCAAGGAATTTAATCTATCTTGCTTCATTGTGTTTCTGATATACGTTTTCTGCGTCTGCGTCGGCGGAAGAAATAGGCGTCGTCAAAATGATGTCCAGAAATGCCGACGTTTCTTACAATAACGTGTTGACATATTCACGCATTCCTTCTCGTTCGTTGGTTGCTTGAAGAGTTGATAGTTTCCTCGCCTTCGTTTTTGTCGCTTGTTTCGCTATTTGAATCAGTTAGAGACCTTTAGTCCATTTGCTTTCGATTTTCCACATTCCTTTTGACCTCCTCACTTCTTTCCGGCTTCGCATTTCTTAGCCTTATCAACCAATAAGGAATATGGCTAGTGTAGACAGTCTGTGCAACCGATATTGAAGTATTTTTCGAATATTTTTCATTATACCGAAAAAACAACCGGGGCATTGCCCCGCTTGGCCCTATTGACGCGCCGCCACTGTGTAACTGTACAGTATATTGTTCCGACTTACACTGAAACTTGGATTACACCGCGTCTCGAGAACGAAACAACGTCGTAAGTCGAGGACTCCCTGTAACTGGCTAACTAATCCCATACCCGACACGGACTGGTAACCGAACGAGATCGTGGTTCGCAATGTGATTTAGCAACCTCATCTCCCGCGGGATAAATATTGTGAAGTTAAGATCGATTCTATGGAATGTCAGAAACCGCCTGGACATATATATTATAATTAAGCTGATGCCGCAAGCTCTAGTAAATGCTTGAAAGTAAGGAAGACCTAATCTTGGCGCAGCGTTGTGGCTCATCGTGCTAAGGAATATGCTCGCCACCGCACCTCTAATTACTCTGCGTTGATTCGCAGGTTCGAATCCCAGGCGATGATAGTTAGTTATGTGCGAGAGGATTGCTGGACGCTTCACCCCCGTAGGGTGGTTCACGTAACCGCTGGTCGGTTGCGGCTTCCTCGATCATCAAGTCCATGCTTCCGAAAACAAATACCTAACTAATACCATACCCGATATGGAATGGTAACCGGGCGAAAGACCGTGGTTCGCCATATGGTTTAAGTCGTATTGTCGGCTTTCCTCTACCCCCCTTTCCTCTGACTTGACCAATGACATTAAATAATGTCAAAAAAGAATGTCATTACATTAACACACATTAACATTAAACAATGTCATTGAGTTGACTAAATATAAACCACCATACTTGACATGAGATATTTGAGTTTTATGCATTTATTCCGGATATGGACCTGTAACTGGACTAAAGGTCGTGGATCGTCATATATTTATATATAAGACATATTATCGCCTTTCTTTTACCCGGGAATATGAAAACTATATTTGATGAAATGGCCTTCAGCAGGAAAAAAATACGAAAGTCTTACCCTAGTATTGGACCGTGTTTTGACTCCGCCACTCCACTTTGCCACAAATGCCTGAAACACGCGTATGCTACTACATACTTTTGTATAGCAAGCGGTTTTGACGATTGTTTCGCGTTGAGTTTGTGTTTCGCGTTGAATTTGTCTAGAAAAGGAGACAGTATGGCCGTGAGATTTGTCAAAGAAGTATTATCGAAGCTGTGCGACGCTTGTGATAATAAATGTAATAAAGTGGTGTTGCTATTGGGTTACCAGGACGAAGTGAATACCGTGTTTACCGAATGCGTCAACGCAGATATTGGAGAAGATTTTGACACCTTTGAAGCAGTTGAATCGTTTTTTCCATTCGGGATTAGCGTAAAGGGGATATTCACTGGCGGAAATAATGATTGTGCGCTTGAGAAGAAGCTAAAAAGTCGAGAAAAGGGGTATTTTAAAGCAGAACAATGTTCGCATGAGCATTTTGGGTTGAAATTCACAAAAATTGATCTTGATGGGGTGGAAAAAATTTGCAAAATAGAGGAATTGTCAAAAATTGAGGCAATAAAGTTTCTGGCAGACAACACAATTGTTTTCCATATTGAGGAAATTACTGCACTCTTTGTTGAAAGTTCAGATGCGAAATTACTGAAAAATAAAATTCTACAACAATTAGCCAATTTGGAAAAGAAGCTTTTATCTGATAAAATTGGATTTTATTTTAAAAGCCAGAAAAAACTACTTTTTGCAGATGAGAATTCCAGTTTCAGCAATTATTTGGGTGTAAATGATAAAGAAAGGATAAAAAACAATCAAGCCACTCATTTTTATTCTTCTCGACAATTTTTTGATGACGATTTCCATCACAAAGTTGCAATGTTCGAGAATGTTACGAATGATAGTGAGGAATGCTTCGTGCCTACTTTATTAATTTCTAAAGATTTGTTTTCAAGAGTGCAAATTTCTTTATCTGCTTTTAGTTTTATTGATAAAACTTCGACTTTAATTGAATTAAAAAATTCTCTAACATCTGCTTTATGTCGACAAATTTCAAATATCAAATTTTGTGTTCGTTTATGTGGATCAGTCAACCAACTTACAGGATTTAGTATAAACCATATTTGTCTTCCTAATTCAACTCACCAAATAAATTTTTGTAGAGCTGTATATGAAGACTTTGAGATGAAGTTTTTACATAAGCTTTTTATGGAACCGTGTGATAGACCGTTATTCACAACTCAAAATACTGTTATAATTGATGCTCAAAGATCTGAAGTTCTTTTGAATACACATGAAGGATTAAAATCTCCTAATGTACAGGATGGAAAAATTTTTGCAGTTTCGGGACTTTATGGATATCACCATTACATGCAAGATCGAATCGATGACAATGGTTGGGGTTGTGCATATCGTTCATGTCAAACTATTGTGTCATGGTTTCGTTACCAAGGTTACACTCTTTCTCCTGTTCCATCACATAAAGAAATCCAACAAGCGCTGGTAGACGTAGGTGACAAACCGAAAAAATTTGTTGGTTCTAGATTATGGATCGGTTCGATTGAAATTAATAACGTTTTAAATCATTTACTCGACGTAACGTCGAAAATTATGTTTGTGAGTCGCGGTTCTGAATTGGCAATGAAAGGTCGCGAACTTGCCAATCATTTTGAAGATCAAGGTACCCCAGTGATGATTGGTGGAGGCGTACTAGCGCACACAATTTTAGGAGTGTGTTTTTCTGAAATTACTGGGGAAACAAAGTTTCTAATTCTTGATCCTCATTATACTGGATCCGAAGATATTAAAACGATCCAATCGAAAGGTTGGTGTGGATGGAAAGGGCCAGATTTTTGGGATCAAACTGCTTATTATAATCTATGTTTGCCTCAACGACCAACTGTAACTGATGGTTCTTTTCGAGTTTATTAACTCTGTAGGGATGGGTTCAGTGGTGGTCGGATTTGGCGAATCCGACTAAGAGGTCGTTTAAAATAAACTTTAAAAAATGACACTGAGTCAACATCAAATCATAGTCTTGAAAATGTGACGGAGTCGATATCAAATCTCGGCCTAAAAATTTGTTTCTTCAGTAAGAGAAGATTTGGATGTACAATAATAAGTGCCTGGCTGCAACACTTCTCATTTAATAGGAGTTTTATATATATCCCAGGAAGAGGAAAGGTGATAAGACAACTTATTAATATGGCGAACCATGGAATCTGTTTAAAATCCATGTAAAAGGTATAATCAACGTCACCAAAGCGTAAATATTGACTTGTTGTATACAAGAATCCTCTTTGTGAATGCTTCGAACAATTCTCAGCCGAGATAGTGTTGACTTTAACATTTTAAGAAGAATTAAAAAGGGAGACTGGGTGTGAATACCCAACTATGGAAAAAAAATTTCCTCATTTTATTTATTCATTTTTTTTGGTGGTGTGCAATTTGAAGATATTAATCATACAGTGTCTTTAATAATCTGGTGTTGTAATTTTTTATTGCGTGTGTGAGATTATTTCGAATCAAGATTCATTACTCATTTTTTGTGTTCCTGTTGTTTTTTGTAAGATAAATTGTGTTCAAATAGGTATCGTTTTTGAAAATGGGCAAAAATTCACCCGAGTATGGAAGTTGCTAAAAGGTTAATGACTTCTATATATTTTCCAAATTTTTCTCTAGAACTATGGCGCTTGACATATTTCCCCAAGTTTTGCTGGTTGTTATAATTTATGATTGCACCTTACAACCACATTTGCCACAATTCTAACATCTGGCCGGAATTATTCTTACATTGTCCTTGCTATATTAGTAGATTCAAGCATTGCTTTCTTGTTCATTTATAAACCATAAATCGTCTGAATTTCCAAATTTGATATCTCTTAAAGTTTCAAATCATGTATCTCACAGAAAAAAAAATTGTGGAGTCGAGCAATACTGATTTTTCTGCTAGTAAAAATAATTGAGACTTCACTTGTCAGATAAATCTGATCTTGATTTAGAAGTGCTGTTTCTTGTATTTCTTGCTGCCTCATTTCATGGCTTAACGCAGTAGTTCCCAACGTTTTATGGATCGTGACTCCATTTTGGAGACTTTTAGCACCACTCATGACCCCGCTGTTTATCATTTTAAAATAGTGTTATTTTTATTGGTAGATTCCATATCCTATTGTGACCAAACAATTCATGCACAAGAAAGTGAAAATACCTTGTGAATATATGCTCATCAGGTTATGAAATTAGAGAGAACAGGAATTTTTTGTAAATTAAAATGAAATCAGTTTTTGCCCAGCATAGTGGCCCCCCTCCAAAAGCTCTGTGGCCCCTTTGGGGGTGGGGGAGGGGGCACTGGGTTGAGTTGAAGTCAATTCGCACCAGGCCCATTTTTTGAAATATTACTCTATTTTTGCTCAAGGATTACAATGATTAATTTATTGAAATATATTTCATGTTTGTTTCAAAGTAAGAGAATATATAAATAGAAACATTGTTATTAAAAAATTGTATTTTTCTTTTTCTCTTAGATGCGTTATAATATATATGTAGCAAAAATATTTCTTTTATTATCAATATTCTCATGTCTATTCAGTCTTACATTTTTAATAAGACGTTCAATTTCGATATTGGCTGAAAATGTGTGGATGATTCCAATTTTTGCTTTTGGGTTGTTGAGCGTTCCTTATGTCACCTATGCTGTAAGAGCCTATGTTGAAGTAATATGGAATGCATATGTACTCGATCTAATTGGAAGGAAAAGATTTGGTTTGATGAAAGAACATGTTTATTCAAGTAAGTCTCGGTTTTGGGTACCGTATTTTACTGACCATAAGGCTACTAAAATACTTTTTTTTCATTGTGCGTCGATTCATTGGTAGGCAAGGTTTTTAAACCGTGGGCCAAAAATTTTGCCTACCTAGACTGACAGGCCATATAAGTGTGACATAAAAAGTTACATTTCATGAACAATATATACAGTGTTGCAAACTCTTTGTGCTATTTTGTTGTCTAAAACATAAAAGTTTAGTTCAGTTGTATCAGCATCAGGTAGGCCAGATCAAATTACTCAACGCGCCGGACTTGGTCCGCATTCCGTAGTTTGCCAGCAGCAGACCTAGTGTATGGATCAGGTAGTGCTTTATTGCCTACAGACAAAACTAGTACGTGTTGCGTCTTATAATCCGGTACGCCTTGATGAATAAAAATCCAATGTAAGCAATTTGTTGACACTGCGCTTTATTATGGTCCGTGAAATACGGTATTCATTAGCGCTTGCCTTGATGGAATATGTCCATAGAAGCTCTAACAAAAATTATAAAGTCAGATAATGGATATTATTTTCAATCAAATTTGCACCTGTATTTTGAGGCAATGCTTTATTGTTGAAACATTCTATATTATTTGCGAAAACTAATTTTGAAATACTAATTCGTACATGTATCGACAAACTTTGAATATATCTGAACGACTCTGAAGAATAGACAAAATTTTGTAAGCAAATACTTTAGTGCAGGGGTGTACAACCTTCGGACCAAATGCAGCCAACAAGGAAAAAATGTGCAGCTCCTGGAGAAGTGCCAATTTTGAATGATGTGCGGCCCGAGAAATGAGTTTTTACTTTTTATTTAATCTGGTACGTGCAAGTAATCCCAATACCTTTGCGATGCAAAGCCTTTACATGAATCCAATTTATTATCTTTGCCTATGACGTTACAATTCCCGAACAGCTAGTTTGTATGAAGCAAACAATGCATGTCAAGAATAATAACCAAAATTTTTGTGGCTGCAACTACTAGATAGCCTATGTTAAAAAAGTGCTGCCCGCGGTTTCACCCAGCATTTGTATCTGGGCCTCCTGTAATAATGGTTCCACATCTCTGCTCTAGCGTATGCAAATTTTCTTAAATTGTCTGTTGCGAATTCTTAGTCTTCAAAGAAATTTGAACCTGAATTCAATCACTCCTTCTTATTAATAGGAATACGCTCGCTGCCGCATCTACTGATTACCCTGCGTGAGTTTGCAGGTTCGAAACCCATGTGGGGATGATTATGTGCGAGAGGAATGCTGGACTCCTCGCCGTCGTAGGGTGGTTCACGTAACCGCTGGTCGGTTACGTCTTCCTTCACCATCAAACTGGCTAAATAATCCCATACCCAACCTGGACTGGTAACCGGATGAGAGGCTGTGGTTCGCTGTATGATTAAGCTGTCTTATCGACTTTCCTCCCCCCCTGGATAAATATGTAAATCTTATCCCATCCTAATCCATGATGTTGTTTTTACCAGGTATTGTCCTCCCAAGTGATTGTGATATATACAACCATATGAACAATTCACGCTACTCTCGCGAAGCTGACTTTGCTCGAACACGATGGTACTGCGATACTGGACTGTTACGTTTCATGCAAAAAACTGGAAAATATCTGATAATGACAGCATCTACTATCAGATACAGAAGATCTCTGGAAGTTTTTCAGAGTTTTACTATAGCTACAAAAGTAATTTATTTAGAGTGTAATATAACGAAGGAAGCAAAAATCTTGTTAAACATAATGAAACATGCTGACCTTAATTCTACAGCCAGGGTTCCAGGCCCAACCAAATGAGATACATTTAAAATTTGTTATATTGAATATAGTAAATTCTTGATTATCATAGAAATAATTTGAAAAGTACTCCTTTTATGCATTTGACATCTAATGGTCAATCAAAAATTATTGAATGCTTTCAATGTGAAAATGATAATTAACCGAATAATGTTCGTGTCAACAATTCTGCAATATTAAACTTAATTTTTACAAATTTACATATATTTGTTTATAAAATAGGAGCCTATTTAGAAAATATTCTGTATTCAGATACATTATTTCAGAATGTATTTCCAATGGTAAATTAATTGTTTTTGGCCATTTCCATGTGAGACAATGTCTTGAATAGGTGTTATGAGGAAAAATTTTTGCCAATGGCTTGGGTAGTTGGGTCTTTGATTACCATGCATGACGGTGCATGTTTGAGTTCAAGGGTGGATAATTGTTTGTGAGAGGATTAGTGAACTCCTCACTGTCTTAAGAGTGGTTTACATAACCGTTGGTCATTTATTGCTTCCTCCACCACCAAGTATCTGAAACAAATAACTAGTTAATAACTGGATGAGAGGTCCTGGTTCTTCATGTAATTGAGTCGTCTTTATCGGCCTTCCCTCGCTCTGGATTATATATAAAAATTTAATCATATCTCAGAAAACAACCCCTGTATCCTCGTTTATTTCTATTTAATGAAAAAATATTTCACATTCAATTTTTCAGATAATTTACTGGGATGAACGAAACATCTATTTACAACACAAATTTCTGACCGGCTCAAACTTTGTAAAACTCAATTATTATAACTAGGATGAGAGTACTAGCACAAAATAAAAGTGCTGAAGAATTCCTGCAGGAATTTTTAGGAACGTCATCTACGCTCGAGAAATCTCCACTGTCTGCCGAATTGAAGCATTATTTGAATTATTTAGAAACGTGCAGTAATAATTTAAGACCATCAAGTTCATTTGTAATACCAAAGTAGACTCCTTTACTTCTGAGTGAAAGTAACATTACTCAGAGATAAGTAAGTCTCTTTTACTTCTAGGCAAGTGCCCGTAACTTTGCATTTAAAGTTTGAGAACCAGTCATCTACAGTTTTGGTTTAATTTATTTCAAATATATATCCTAAATCAATCTGATGGACACCAGAAGCATGATAAATTTCTAAGTTAACATAGAGCATAATTTCACTGTTACATGAAAAATTTTCTAAGAGAAAACTGTACTTTCAACTACGGTATATAAATCCCCAAGTACATGTTTAAATGATGTTAATTTTGAATTTTGTCTAAATTAAGTTTGTTATAATATATCCTTTATATTAAATTACACTGTTGTAGAGCTTATGAGCAAAATCTATTCTACCAGGCATTTTTCTAATTTTATCAAACATTTATATTTTGTCTAAGTCAGTATTGTCAACTTAAAAATATACTGCATATTAATGATTTTATGATAATCTAACTTTTCAAACAAACTTTCTTAGGCGCAACAGAAGTGTTCGCCTACTTTTACATCGAGTTGTGTAAAGGGACTGAAACCTATGGGCAGGCGATATATTCACTTGGCTAACACAGACAGTCTCCGAACTCATAATAGAACTAAAATGAGGAAGATCGGAATAAAATTAAGGTCTAACTCTAACCTGGTACCCTTTTTTGTCCTTACTTGATTTTGGTCAAGTATCATGTACCTCAAAACAGTGTGCGAGTCCAAAATCGTACTGAACCAACTGCCAGTGGGACTTGACTCAGTAATTGACTAGTGACATGACGCCTCAAAAACCTTTCATTCTGAATATGGCTCTGTACGAGTTTTATGCTTTTAAAACAGATTTAGCGAAAATGATACTTTAATATATACATACTTTTAAGAATATAGTTTTGTAATTGATAGTACTGCAGTTATGTATGCAATTATTGTATGCAATATATTTTTCATTGTTTCAAATGTTATTGTTTTTCAACTTTATAAGTGAAGTACTACAATAAATGATTTTAATGACGAGAAACTATGTTATTTTTTGATTACATATGGCGACAGTGCATGTTGAATACAATACAAAAGTTTGCAAGGGGCTTAACCCGGTGGAAGATCAATTCGCATTTTTAGGATATTTCAGGAACTCTCAATCCTGTTTTTTTTTTCGGTACATGACCAAACGTGGTCGTTGTCCACTTAGTACAGTGTTTCCCAACCCGAGTCCGCGGTCTCAAGTGAGTCCGCAACGAGAAAGAAATTCACTGCGGGCCTCAAACATTTTTGTGAAACTTAACTATCAGCCAAGTTACGATTTACATAAAACATTAAAAGTAAGTTTATTCACATAACAATAATTACTGGTTACTGAGTAGGGCTGGGCATATATTCAATTATTAGAATAGCAATTTACTGTTCAAAAATATAATAACAGGTCACTTGCGCGTCGCTTTAATCAAACGATTAAATTCACAACTCACCAGCGGATTTTCGACGAAAACACACGAGTCTGCGCTCGCTTCGATAGATACCTAAGTGGCGGGGCGCCGTACAAACAGCTCAGATTTGTCGAATTCACAAAAATACGAATCAAAAGAAAATGTAATCGGGCACTTTACCACTCATTTTTGTGTCCACGGATTGTCATGATATTTAGTATTGCTTTTATTTCGTCAACACAATCGCAGATTAAAATGATCACAATTAAATTAATAATAATAAAGCAAGGCGAAGAATATGTATTTTTGATTTATACTAATATACTTTAAATATATTTTTAATAAGTACTTAATCAAGTTGTACTTTCTGGAAATTTATAGCAGATAGTAGGATTTTTCCAACGGCGATAACAAATTCGCAAGATCGCAAAAGATATGTATCAGAACCAAATATAATTGGGCAATATATTCTCACATTATTATGTTTGCAGATTGCCGTGGCATTTTAAAGAAGTAATGCTTCCATCTTATCGTAAGTCCACGATACCGCGAGTTACCGTAAACACAATTAAATTAAAATAGAATGACATTTGAAACTAAATTGGACTAAATATTGTGAGACAGAAAAGGCCATAAGACACTAAAAAAGTCAGCTCTCTTAACGAACGCGTAATTGCGACGAATTTTCGACTTTAAAATTCGTTAAAATTCTGTTGTGTTTGGTTTTATTGCGTCTTCACACAGACGGTTGCAATAACCGAACCTTGAGTCCGCAAAGATTTTCGCAGGTGAGAAAATAATCCGCGATCAAAAAAAGTTGGGAAACGCTGACTTGGTAGATCGCATATTCTTTCTTCTGAAATCCTCTGAATCATAGGTATTTACGGGAGTGAACAATTTGCGAAGAAATATAATTTGCAAAGCGGTAAACAAGAGAAAAGTAGAGAAATTGAATGTACTTGTTGCTCCAGTGTAATCCTGCATGCATTCGCATCCTGTAGGGGGTATTATGTACAAAATGTTAATGTGATTCACATTGTGGCTGGTCACACAATCAATCCATGTACCTAAAATGATTTGACTGGCAAGCTAACCAAGCAAAGAACCTGACACGACTCTTTGGTTCACTGTATACTAACTATCTTATTTAACCCCAACAAATTGCTTAGATTGGGATTTTGATCATTTTGTCCATACACAGAGTGATATCTTTGGAACTGTTGTGTGTAATCCATCAAATATTTGCTGTCTTGTTTTATTAGGAATTTTTCTTTTTTTAGGGGTCGGTCGACGTAGTTGACTTTGTAGTCTTGCCCGTCCCCTCCCGATTATACTCTACAATTGTTATTTCCATTTATTGTAATTTTACATTTGATATATATATTCGGAAAATAAATCATTATATCTCTCTCTCTCTGTTGATAGGAGGGCAAAAACTACTATGTTTTACCATATTCAATTGTGATTTGTTTTTTTCTCTTAGGTGTTAATTTATTTTCAGTGTGTGTTACTTTAGCTCAATTTCGATGACAAAATGGTAATTTTATATTTTTTAAAGGCTGTGACTGACTCGATGACCTAACGGTCGCTTCGTTACAGCCTCGTTACAATGCCTTGAAATTAATTTTGAAATGTTGCATGTAAACTATTTGATATAGTTGACGAAATAAAATAATACTACTACTGGACTACAAGACGCAACGGTTTTCTGCGGAGTATCGATTTACCGTGTCATCGTACAAAAAACTCGTAAAATTGTAAACGTAAAATTGCGCCCATGGTGCAGTTTGAAAATGCGCCACTTTGACCGTCGACTGTTGTTGAAATTATATACTTGTACGCAGTGGTGGGAATCAGCCGGTTCGCACCGGTTCGTCTCACGAAATTTTATGAAATCAGCGAACCGGTTAGCATTACTGGTTACTGTCAATGGGTTTTTGAATCTTATCTGACACACCGATTTTTGAGATCAAGTAGCTCACGTTTTTTTTTAAATTGTGAAATGTGAAGTTCGCACGTAACAGTTATACATTGTGTTAATTTTTATAATTGTAGTAATTTCCCTTTTGTGATTGTTTGTCTGAAAATTGAATTGTTGCGTCATAGGTACAAGTCATGAGACAACTGCTGCTTTTCAGTGTGATTGTTAGCAGCGGTGGGATTGAGCCGGCATATACAGCAATATAGTCAATCCTCAAAATCATCAAAAATTTCGTTACTAATTTTGACATAATTATGCTTACTTAACTGTTATTTTGAAATGTTAATTAGGAAGTAATTAAAAATAATCAGTAATTATTTGCTAAAAAATGCGTCTTTTTGTAACAGAACCGGTTGAAAAATATGACTTTTGTTATGGGACCGGCTGACAAAAAATTTGAATCCCATCACTGCTTGTACGTGATTATACGAGTAAAAACGATTTTCAATCATTACTAATTTGAAATTATTTTTATTAATTAAAACATTTTACGATTAAGTCTTTTCCCCCTTTTTGAGCCCTGTCCAAACGGCGCCCATGGCACTAGTCATCGCTGGCATACCTAGATACGCCACTGTTATAATTAGATAACGTAAATAAGACGGCGTCGATTTGAATAAACAAGAGAGCTATGCTCAAATATATGGGCACGAAAAAGTAATAGGCTTCTAGCGAAAAATACAATCTTCAACCACTGAAAATGTCTAAGCAACTAGTCAATTAGATTAGTAGAGCATGTGAAACGCGATTTCTTCATAGCGATAGAAGTAATGATGCCGAGAAGAACGACATAATAACGAAACGAACCATAGGTCCATTTCGTGTCCAAAAAGACACCGATTCGTATCTGCTTATGCTATTTTCATTGTGGGATAAATGTTACATCTGAACATTGGCATAAAAATAACAATTCTCCCGTTTTTGGCGCCGGGTGACTTAGATATTGCTCGCATGGATAAATGTAACGCAGATATTTACATTCAGGGTAAATCAGACAGATATTGGCAAAAATTAAAGTACGTGAAAGATTTAGAACCTCTGGACTACATCAAAGTATCTATTATGCGTAATAAAACATCGAATTTTATATCGCGATTATGCTATTCACCATCAAAATATTCAATAAAGCCGCGTCTTCTAACTAGGAAAACTTTCCCGGGGAGAAATTTTGCTTGTCAAGTCAAGTTCATTTTTTCAACCAGTGAAACGAAAAAAATCATGCTAAAAATTAGCAAATTACATTACTGGGGAAGAGAAGGCGCAGGAAACCAAAACTAGTTATCGAGCAGCAACACCCAAGGTTCTAACATCTAATTCAACGGATTGGGGAGAGAGTTTCAAAATTGCAGTAGTTCTCTGCATAATATTCTTCAATTCAATAGTCAAGGATCCATTTAAGATTGAATAAATATAGTATAATCAGATAGATTCAGACTAGGATTGAGGTATTTTATCTTTTTATCTGAGCTCATTTTTGCAGAGTTAGAATCTATCTTAGGATCGGATTTACATATCCATCCTGGTAACCGGACGAGAGGTCGTTGTTCACCATATGATACAGGGTCACTTGTTTTCGGAAGCATGGACTTGAAGCATTTTAAATTCCAGATGAGTCAGTTCGGTTAGGAGATTACCTTTTCAAACCAATGAAAACCAAGGAGTCAATCGCAGAGAGAAATTGATTTAAAGGTTGATATGTCCCACCATAAATATGGTGTGTAGATTGTGGGACGGTTAAAAAAACAAGTTTTTTTGAGGCCATGAATTTCATTTGAGCCCTGCATGTTGTTTCCCATGCGATGTAAAAAATTCAATGTTTAGAATTGTTTTGTTATTGGGTAAATGGAAAATATTCCCGCCATTCACGCTTGAAATGTTACAAAAAATACTTCTAGTTGCGCTCGAGGCACGTTCGGCTTGTATTCGTGCATATAAAAATCGAAATATCTTTCTTGCGGCTTTAATGTCGAAGGGTACGCAGCCCGGTACGGGTTGTCGAAACGTCGCGAGACTGCAATTTATGAGATGCGAGGGAGCTTTACAACTAGACATTAAAAACAACAAAATATTCATCCACAAAACTGTAAAATGTATGTTTACATTTTGTTTGAACATT